AGAAGAGAAGAGAAGAGAAGAGAAGAGAAGAGAAGAGAAGAGAAGAGCATTGACCACCTGAATGAACAGATGGGCTACCCTGATAAAACATCCAGTGGCCATTCAGTTACCTGAGAAAAAGTAGCTAATGGTACTGGAGAAATCTTTTCAAGTTGTCAAATGGCATCCAAACACTCCCAGTACACTTAGGAATACGTGACCCCAGTGACCAGCCACAGCTCTAGGAATACATATTTCTGTATTAAAAGTGCAAAACATAAGCATAAAAAGTACACGAAGTGATAAAAAGGCACTTCCAGCTGGCATACATTTTCCTATATGCCACAGAAAATTGAGTCAGATCAGATATAATTAATTGCATATTGGTATACAGTGCTAAGCAGGCACACTTGATTGTTTAACACAGTCATTTGCAATGCCAGCATAGTTAACAGAAGAAGAAATCCACATTTCTTTTGTAATGTTCCTAGTAAAGATGTTTTCATTTTAGACATTAATATAAACGTAATGTCATGCATGCAACACCTCCTATAAACCACGTGGCACCTTTGAGCATCATGAGACAAGCAGGCATCAGAACAATTGAGAGTAATTCTCAAGTTGAATCTAGCTTTGCATGCAAAATTGCAAACATCCTCAGTAAGTGCACACCTGGACAAGCCAGATGTTTGTGTATAAAAAGCAACTCGATTCAAATACCTGTAGTGCTGTGAGTGAGGACATGACCCTCAAGTTTTAGAAGGCACAGGAACTGAGGGGGAAGCTAAATACAGCACTCAAAAATGAAAATCATTATTGCAAGAGGTGTATTTCAGAGGAGCCAGATGACTGAAGCGAAGTACCAGGAGAAATCAAGAGTTGTGTCCAACATTGTTTCAGTGTGATTGCTGAATTTAGACTGACGGCCAAAAAACCAAAACACAGGCCTCTCTTAAGGACTCACTCATATGCTTTACACTTCAGAGAAACAGGCTGTGGAATATAATCTATTTTCTTCATCCCCCTTTTTAACCTTATTAGATAAACAAGCATCTATGAGTTGAAGTGAAATGCGTTAGTAAACAGCTGCATGGCTACACTGTCACGTCCTCACCAAACCTGTACCTCTGGGACAAAAAGGTCAAGAAACTAACAGGAGGTGAATGCTGCAGGGCACCTGAAAACAAGTGCACACTGTTTTGGAATTTTGAGATTGTTTTTGTAAAAAAAAGCAAAAGAAAATGCAGTCTTTGGTACAGGCTTACACAGCGCTGCTGAAGCACTAGAATATCAGTTGGAAATCAGAGAAAAAACAGAACTGTGCTTCTGAGCTAGGCAAGCCCAAGCTCTAGTGTACACACTGATTAACTTGCACGGAGCTCTTCCAGGCTGCACACATGTGGTCTTTCAGTACATTTACACTGCAATCACTACATTAAATACAAGTGAATTTTCAAGCAGCAAGTAGTAGACATGACAGCCTCTCCTACTTTGCTTAGACATTAGGAGAAGGAATCCATACCTGTGCAATCTGGAGCTGCCTTGAGTCCTTGAGGTGGCCTATGCCTTCAGAAAGTCACCAGCCAACACTCAGGTTAAATGACTTGTGAGAAAGGAGGGAATACTGCATAAAACACAGTTTCCACTTGATTCGTTAGCACAGTTTTAAATTGCTATTGTTATGAATTCCTTTTCATGATGTCTTGATAACAGAAAGCAAGAGCATACCTCTGCCATCCATCCCACATCGATCTCACAACTCACACGTTTTCAGAGTGCTCCAATGCTTGAATTTACCAGATACTCACTCTAAAACTGGAAGCTACCAACAGCTGAATTAAAACGACACAAACAACAACAACAACACAAACAACAAAGCAAAAATAATATCAAAACATACTTAAAAATAACACTCCTCTTCTGCTATCTTTTCCCTGGACATTTGTCCTTGCAGGCTGTCTGGATTTCCACAGGAAACTACCGTGCCTGGCATAAAATTACTCTTCTAAGCTGTTCTGTTCCTTATTCTCCAGCAAGGACATGCTTGTATCGCCATTACTGTTTTCATTTTCGTCTCCACTGTCCTCCAGGTCCCCTGATTTCTGATGAGCAAATGTGTAAGTGTCACGGTCTGTTTCTGCCAGAAGTGGAGGTTCCTCTGTGTTAGGAGAGTGTTTTATGTCTTTTCTAAAGGAGAATGGAGGTGGAGAAGGTGGCAAGCTACCCATGGGCCCCTCAAAAGGCTGGTACACATCAACTTCTGGAGTGACTGAGCCATTGGATTCCTTCAGCAGGTGCCCATAGACCATAGCATCATCGATAACTGCGTAGACGTGGGACTCGTTGGTTTTCCTATCTTTTTGGAACAAGCGTTGCTTTCCAGGCATCTGGGTATTGACATTTGCATTGTATACACCCACCATGGGATTCTGGTTTTTCTTCTTCCTGTTACAGAGTTGAAATGATTCACAGGTCAGAACAACGCATAGCTCAGTGCATCTGAGCTCAATAATGGCAGCTGCTGTTTACAAATTCCACCTACCCTGTGTCAGACAGTCTAATCTACCTGGATCAAAGACTGTACTTGTAATCTTAAGAAAAATAATTATTGAGTTAAGACAAGTTTTTTTTTTTTTTTTTTTTTTTTTTAAAGCTATTTATTCAGTTGCAAACTGAGTAAGTTTGCAAGATTAACACCATCAGCCATCCAAGTACAGAGTTCCACTTCAGTTATGCAGTGTACTGACCCTCTAAACTTCCACAGGCATTAAGAGGACCTAAGGGCCAACAAGGCTGAGTGAAATAGCAGATCCACTCTAAAAATCAAATGAACTTTCCCAGGTTTTGGTGCAACTGTCCTCCAGGCAGAAACACCAAAGGCTGAAGTAAAAGCTTTTTAAGCCTATATTCTTAAAACTTTTCCTGTGCAACAGAGAATTGCACTCATAACTGCTCTAATCATTATATTACACAAATCATTCCAGCTTTACAGCTTCAGGACCAAACCATCCTGAGTACACACATCAGAACCTAAGATACTGATAGCTTCAGACTCCCATTGCATGATTTGGGTGTGTTGGCTTTGCACAAAATGAGTTCTCTCCCAAAGGGCTCATCTCACAGAAAAGTGTTCTTACTTGGTTTATAAACTGTGGAAGAAATTGCTAGAGGGTCTGCAGATGAAAGACAAGTCTTTAAATACCCTAAATGACTTCACAGTTTGTCTTAAGAAAGACTTGTCTAGAGTCACATGCAGCCCACATTCATCACAGTATCATTTCACACAAAGCACTGATAAATCCAAGCAATACCTTTACTTCTAGTACAGACAGAAGGTTGTGCCAAAAGCAAGGCTAGGCAATGCACTGGGAGCTGAAGTAATGTGACCCCAGGAATGCTGCTCTATTTTTAAGAAAATCAATTCAGAATAAAGCAACATTCTTGGAGCAACATCACTCCAATGCCCAGTGCATTGCCTGCACTATGCTCCACGCCTTTGTTTAAGGGAACTACATCAACAAATGGAATACAAGGCCTGCCACCTCTCCCATACTGTTTTCTTGAACTGCTAAGCTACACACATGCTAAATTAGGAACTTACTTCTTCTTAACACAGCACACAGTGAGTCCAATAGCTGCAAGAACTCCAGCCGCAGCCAGTACACCAAGTATCACTGCTACATCTGAAAGCAGACAAGTTACAAGAACGCTGAGCATTTTCCTAAAACCTCCTCAGCAGTTTTTAAGTGCATCTGTTGCATGCAAAGAAGGAGTCTCCAAGCTGTGCATGCCTTGGGGTAACATAAGACAATTCCAAGAGGTTGGCAGTCAAGCAAGGACAAGCTCCAGCTGCTAGCAGTGGATCACAGACTTTAAAACAACCAACACTCCCCCATCAGACTTAGCTCTTGGTGCAAGGACTCAAGACAGCTCACGTGCTGCTGAACTTACTTGCAATGTCTCACAAGCCTCTGGCTGAACATGTAGTATAGAGAAGAAAGCATGGAAAGAGACAGGTAAGTAATCAACAAACAAAATAGTTATTTTTTCACCACATCCCCCTCAGTGCAATCATTTCCCCTAAACTACAAGAGT